CCAATAAACCTGGAAATTTTGTTATAACCATCAAAACTTTTAGTATACATATGTGAATTTAAAATAAAAATATGAAAATTTAGGAATAAATAAGTATATTTTATTATGGCTTTAGAAATATACAAAAATGAATACAATGTTAGATATATATATATATATATATATAATAAATTCTAAAATAAATTTAGAATCAAATTCTTGATTTTTAATCCATATAACAACATAAAAATAGACACATAAATATAGTAGAAGAAGATGAGAGAATGATTACTTATAAGATGATTATATAAAATAGACAATGAAGATACATCTTTCAAAAAAAAAATAATGTAAGAACACAAAACAAAAAAATATTTAACATTTGAGCTATCGTGCAAAAGGGTGAGAGGATGAGAGGATCAGAGGATGAGAGAATGAGAAATGAGTATTTATAAGATGAGAAGTGAGATAAGTTAGAATTAAAAAAAATATATATGGGAGTTACAATTCTAATTTATTGTGTGTTGAATAAAATTGAGTGGAAAAATATAGTTAATGTCTAATTTTAATGATTTCAGTTTTTTTTTTTACTAAAGTGTGAGTTAAATATGTTTTATTTATAATTTAATTAAAAATAAAAATTTAAGTTACATTTCCAAATGTACCAATAAGAAGAGAGTGAAACCTTACTTTTATATGTATGATTTGATTTAGTTATTCAAATTGATTTTGGTATTACTAGACTTAAGTACGTTTTAGTTAACTTTCATATTAAAACTCCAAATCTCTCCCATGTAATTGACATTGAGTTTCAAAGTTTTATTTTATTGATAAAGAATTTCCATCAAAAACTATATATTTGAGATGATAATATCTAGTTGAAAGAAAAAAAGAAGTGAAAAATGCATTAGTCAAAGGTATGAGTAAATCTGAATGGCACAGTACCGTACAAGAGATCATCTTACAACTTTTCCACAGATTTGGTCTGGAGAGAATCTTCTGCAACTGCAAGATTCATGGGAACTCATATTTTCATCAACTCTTGAACAACAAACTTCATGCCATAACAAACATTGCATTCTCATCAACTCTTCCTATGAAGAATAAGATTTTCTCAACTCTCTCTAAAGAGTCCAACAACCACGAAACACTCTGAACCTATTAAGATGATGATCACAGAGGATATCAAGAATGTCGAGGAGAGAAAAAGAATCTTCAAAGCTTTTGTTGATGGAGTGGTCAAAGAGCTATACCTCCCAGCTCACAGTAACGTTGTGAAGTTTCTTCGTTGGAAAGACCTTGCCAACACTTCCTTGTCAGTCGTGCTTCCGGAATCTTATGACTTGCACTTTTTTACCGTAAGGTCAGATATAAGAGAGATTGATGTAGGCTCCTTTTTTTCGATTTTCTGACTAAGGGTGAACATGTTGGAAAGATTGTGATGTTGGAAAAGGAGTTTCTCTTTGAGTGGGATGAGGTCGAAATCGATTCCAAGAAATACTACCACATCATTCAGATGAAGAAAAAGGAAGAGGAAGAAGAAGAAGAACTGAAGAAGGCCTAAGAATCGAGAAGAAAGAGGCGTGAGGAGGAGGAACTGTACTTCAACATATCGCAAAAACATTTGTTTCCAAATAATACGAGATAATAATCCCTTTTTGATTGAGTCTAAGTTTATGAATACAAATTTAGAGAAAAATCAAGCAAATTGATCTTGTAATATCTTGATTATTGTTGCAAAATCAAATTAATTATTTTGTTGATGAAAAAAGAAATTCATATAAGTTGAACGATCAAAAAGTTGATTGTTGTAACACAATGCCATTGAGAAGATGAAAAAAAATGGATCGAACAAAAGAAAAAAATGGCGGGATAATAGAAAAACAGAATATGGCTGAGAAGAAGGCAACTAAGGTGTAGTCTTTTAACTATAGTTTAGAAAATCAAGCAAATTTATTTTGTAATTATTTGATTTTGGTGCAAAACAAAATTAATTACTCTTGATTTTATGGAAGATATGATTTGTTTATGTTGATTTTGTATAACGATATGCGGTTAAATTAAAAAAATTCAGTTGTGTTACAAATATTTTCCTTGATTGTTCATGAATTTTTGAAAGAAGTTACTATATATGTTTATTAAAAAAAAACTTCTTTAATTCATTTATTGAAAGAGTTGTATTTCCCCTTACAAAGTGATTTGATAAATATAATCACTCGAAACATTTGGTCCATTATTCATTGATAATTCTTTTTTCAAACTCATTTGATTATCTTTTTGAAAAAATCAATTTCAGTGGAAAAGACACAGAAGGTAGATTATACATTTAGTTCATCAACAATAATAAAAAGAAAGATGCTAGATATTTTAATTTGTAGGAAATTAATTTATTTTTGAGTTTGACGATGAAAAAAATAGCTCCATGAACAAATACAATGTCACTGAGAAGAAGAAGAAAAACAAAAGTAGAAAAAAATTTAAAAAAAATTCAAAAAACACAAAAGATAGATGTATGATATGAGACCACGATACCATAAATATCGTTTGATGGAGATTTTGAATAAATTGCACACACAAGTTGTTGAGAGTCCGAAGCCATGTAGATTATTGCAAAATTTGATTCCCGAGCTTGATGAAGGGCAGAAAGCATGTTAAAACAATTTTAAAAATGTTTCTAGCAAAAACTATTTTTATTTTGAACACAAATCATGGTTTGAAAATTGCACTACACAATACAGAGACATTGATCCGAAATGTTTAAAATTTAACATTAAAAATAAAAAGATTTGGCAGGGAAGCCATATTATCTAAACATTAACTTCTAAAAGACAAATCTTTAATCTTAAACTAGCTTTTTCACAAAACTACAAATCTTTGTTAGTTTTATATTTATTTAATTCTATTACACCCATTGCCAAACACATTTGTTTCTAAATATTATATATTTTTGATTATCTTAACATTTATTGCCAAACACATTTAAGGAATCCTAAACTTACCAAAAATAATTACTTTAAAAATCACATCTTAAATGTTATTATTAAGTTGTGATTCGTTCCCTTCTTTTTTGTTGTCTAGAATTCCGCACTCTTGTAATGCTAAGACAAATTGTCTAACCCGTTACTCTACAAGTCTTTTTTCATAAATATTATTTGTAAACATTTTTCCCCCATGTTAAGCAACCAATCTTTTTTTTTTTTTTTGAACAAAGGTTAGGCAACCAATCATGAAGTGACTTTTTAATGAATGTGTGGTTGACAAAAAAAAATCTTATTATTAATTGTGAACGAAAATTTCAATTATAATATGGATTGTAATGTATTTAAACTACAAAAAATATTTTTCTAAATTCAAATCGTTATATTAAAAATATAATTAAATTTTCCTACAAAATAGTAAAATAATTAACATCAATAAAAAGTAAAATTTAATACTTTCGGTTAATTAAAACATAAAGGAGAATAAAACAATATTTATAATTTATAAATAAAACAATATTTATAAAATATAAATCTGTATAAGAAAACCTAACACAATAACTTTATAATCTTCAATTGTATTAATTGTTTTTAATAAATTAATGAAATGTAAATATTCTAATAAATATATATATATATTATTTAAACTAAATAATAAAATTCACATGTGCACAACACGGGTTCTTACCTAGTTTATTAAAAAAAAAAACAGGAAACTATACGTTTTAATATAATATATTGTTTTAAATTCAAAATATACTTTCCAAAGAGGAATTACACAGTTACTAAATTCATCTTTAAAAAAATATATCAATTTTTTTAACTGTTTTTCTTTTTCCCCAAATTTTTTGCAATTGGCGGCAAAATTTTGAGAAACTAAAAAAAGCCAAAACAAAAGGTCTCTTCATAGACTCAAGTTCTCTGTACTATTTGAGAGAAGAAAAGAACACTTTCTGAAACTCCACAATGGAACTCACATTTATATAAACAAACTTTTTTTAGTTTAGTATATATTTGACAAAAACAACCTTTGTTTAGTTAAAACAAAATAATTACATACACTAGCTAAATAATGTGATATTTTTATATATATGAGGTTGATTATTTTTTTGTCAACTGAGGTTGATTAGTTGTCGATCTTAAATAACTAACAAATATCAATAAATGGATTTTAAAAATATTTCGCGCCAGTTATGTGTATCTAATAACCATTGCATTGTTAACTGTAATAATAAATAACGGTTATTTAAAGTAATTCACGTGAATTATATTGAATACCTATTGTGTGCTAATTCATGATTTCAAGAGGACCAATACTTCATGATTTTTCCATTAGGGACCTCTCAAAAACTAAAATTCAATAACACTAATTTTTAACTTAATACAAGGTTATTATATTAAAATTGTTCTTATAGATGTCATGTAATAAATTCATTAATGATTATTTTTGTTTTTAGAAAAAAAATAAGTAGAAAATATCCTTTTTTTGTGTGTGAAAATACTTGTATTCTATTCAATCAATCCCAAGGGGATTCTAGAAAGTAAATAAATGAAAAATTCTAGACTATTTCTAGAGAGTTTTATATAATATTGTTAATTAGTTTTTTCGTAATCTTGTAAAGTTTTTCAAACAGTCTCTCTATTTTGATGATATTTTTCATGACTTTATTTTGTAAAGAAATGTGTAGAAAGTCATAAACCAATACCATAATAATTTAATTCATTAATCATAGATTCTTTTGTTTTAATTGAATAACATAAAACTTTTATTAAAAGTATGAATCCAATAACTCCAGATTTTTGAAGATTTTAGATTATTTTTTGCAAATCTTAAACTAATAACACCAAACTATAACAAAATTTAGAACAATCTTAATTGAATAACAACATATTTTACATGACATAACTTTATTTAAATCACAAACCTTATTATATTAAATTTTGACAGCTTGTCAAGTAAATTCATTAAAGATTATTTTTATAAATTTTTACTCTTACCTTTTCAACAAAATTTTTGCAGTTGGCGGGAAAAACTTGAGAAACTGAAAAAAAAAAAGAGTAAAAACGTCGTCTCTTCACGAGAGGCGAGTAGGAGAAGAAGATGAAGAAACCAATTCCTAAAATTAGGGTTTTTGGTCAGCGATCGATTGCTTCTTCCTTCCTGAATCTGAGCTCGATTCCGTAATCGTTTAATCTCTTTTGATTCCTTAATTCATCTCTAATTCGCCAATAAGGTTTTAGATCTGAGTAATTGAATTCGTGTGCGATTGTTTTATAGTGTCGATGGCTCTCCGGAAAATCCGTCGGAGAAAGTGGAGAATTGTAGCAAGCTGAACAAATCAGTTCTGTTTAAGCCCAACAACAACACTCAGGTAACGATTTCCTTTGGAATGGTGACAAGTGAAGCTTAAGGAACTGGGGAAATTGATGGAAAATGGTTTTCATTTTCGCCGAAAGCTGAAACCTTTAAATTGCTAATGATAAGGAATTGAGGTCGAAATTTGTGTTTATTTTAGGGTTGCAAAGTTGTCACAGATTTAGATTGTGGACCTCATGTATAAGGTTTGGTGTTTGGTATTTGAACAGGAGAGGCTAAGACCATTCACTTCTTTGGTTAGCTCTAAAGATGTGACTCAACTCTCTCATGGGTTTGGGATGGAGAGAAAAGCGAGGGAAGAAAGGAAAAATGGTGATGGTGGTCTTGAAAAGATGATGCTTCAGCAGTTCAAGCCAAGAGAGACTCAGGTAAGTGAAGAAGTGAGTAGAGATGTAACTTGTGAGGTGAGTCTTGAGTCGTTGGATCAAACCGTAGCTGAAGAAACGGAGCATCCGTACTCCACTGAAATCAATGAAGATATCATTGTGAGGGACGATAAAACATCAAAGAAAAGAAAAGATCCTTTTGAAGGTATGTCACTTAACTATCATTACTTGTATAAGTTCTTGTTTCCATAGTTATGTAGCACCAAATCTATTCAACAATAGCTGTGAAAGCACAAAGCAAGCGAGTTCCTTTTCCATTTTCTAGATGAGGTTTTGATAGAAGTGTGTGAATTGAGAACTTTACTTGATGTTCTTGTTCCTCAGGTCACGTGCATTTTCTCCTTCTTGTTGGCTTAAACCTAATATCTGAGTCTTCATGGTAGAAACTAATGTTTAATGAATGACCTTTGAGATCTCGATAGTTGATAAGAGTATACATTGAATCACTAGGTATGGAGAGCATCGGTAGAACGGGAAAGCCTGTTATAGTCTTTGGAGACAACTCAAAGGTATCAAAGCCAATGCAAAGAGAAAGAGAAAGAGGAAGAGGAAGCAACAACAATAGTAAGAAGCAGAGACCCACATACAACCATTGTGAGTGACACAAGTTTCAATCACTTTTTTTTCACTTGAGACAAAAACTCTATGAAACCAATACTTATAAACTTGCCAACAGATGCAAATGGTTCAGGATGGTGGGACTGTGATATGGAAGGTGTTGACTCGGAAGAAGTGGGACATAGTGAAGTGTGGGAAGGAGTTGGCTCGACAACATTTGGAGATATAGTTGATTGGCACTAACAAGTAACAAGACGGGTCGGTCAATTATCTCTTACCGTTACAATGGTTTTAACTTAAACAAAAGATTATCAAATGGTGTAAGTAGCCTTAGGTAGCAAAGTCCTTTGCTTGTGGAACTGAAGGGGGAATCGTTTTGTATGATGCAAATGGAACTATATGTTGTCAATTCGTAAACTTTTTGACTAATGTTTTGGGAAGACCTGTATTTACTTCATATTTTTTGGCTGTCTAACAAATTCTAAAATATAATCTAAACATATCAAATTATCAATTGAAAAAAAAAAGGCAATCTTAACAGGAAATTCAATCTAAAAGTAGTATATTACGGTTTTTTTTAGTTATGGTCAAGATTCAGAGAGGAAGATGGTGAGTTAAATTTATAGATTAACAATGGTGAACTTCTATTAGTTTATAGAGGTATTAGTTTATCGATAAATTGATAATTATTTATTTATAGATAGATTTTCTTAATTTCATACAAAACTTGGGGAAGCCATTGTAAGCTTGTGTAGGGTTCTTGGAGTCCAATATGACAAGATTGGTAAAGCCACTATTTGGTTTTTTTTTTAATTTTCTATGAAAATATAAGATTTCTTTTATTATATAACATATTTTTTAGAACCAATTAAAAGTAAAAAAAAAAAAACAATTATCTTGTCTAGAAGAAAACACCAAAAGTTTTTGATGCAATAAAAATATTAGAAATAAATTCAAATAAGAACTACTACGAAATTAAGAGAAAAAAAACAATACTAAAACTATATTTCACTAAAATTTCTAACATATAATATAGATATAATTGATATATTTATACAATTATTAATTTATGATATTGATGGGCTATATGTTTACATAGGATTTTCAAAAATATTATTATTTTATCGATTTATGTCACTTTTTACACTGGTCCCAATTCGGAACTGAAAAAATTTATTAATTTATAGAAGTTATTAATTAATCGAATATTAATTTATAGAGGTTTTACTTTAATTTTACTAAAGTATAGTCATGGGTGATGGGTTCATGGGTTGCTAATGTAAAGTTGGATTTAAATTTAAGGGGAACCTGATTTCCAAGTATTTTAGGCTTCCTTTTTTTGTTTCATGTACTTGAACATTTTTTAATAATTTCATTTTATATTAGGTCAAAAGTTGTTTATATTGCTTTCCAATTCAAAATTGTAAGACTTTCCAAATATTTTTTAATATATAAATTTAACATTTAAAAGTTAACAACCATTCACTCCCACTAAGGAATCATTTTTTGTCTTTTCTTTTTTTCTTATTTTCATGTAATTCATTTTCAAATATGAATCTTTTCTACATTTAAGGAAAAAATCTTTTATAAATTTAATTGACAGTTGTAAACAATTAATATAATAACCCTATATTAAGAAAAAAATCTTAATGTATTTATCATGTAGTGAGGCATACTGAGAAAGGTTTTCAATATAATGACATATTTAAGAAAAAAAAAACATTTACTTCCACTAATTATAGAAAAATCTATTTGTAATTATTTATTTGTTTTTCATGTGATTCTTCTTCAAATATGGATATTTTCTACAACTTTTCTTTATAAAATAATCTTTAGTGAATTTACTTGACAGGCTGTCAAAATTAATATAATAAACCTATATTAGGAAAAAAATCTTAATGTAGTCATTATATAGTGAGGCATATTGAGAAAAAAAAATTCAATATAAGTACACATTTAAGAAGGAAAACAAACATTTACTCCCACTAATTATAGACAAATTTATTTCTATTTGTTCTTCGTTTTTCATGTGATTCATCGTCATATATGGATATTTTCTACTTATTTTCTTCTCTAAAAACAAAAAACAATCATTAATGAATTAATTACTTGACAGCTATAAGAACATTTTTTATATAATAACCTTGTATTAAGTTTAAAATATTAATGTGAATTTTAATTTTTGAGAGGTCCCTAATTGTAAAATCATGAAGTATTGTTCCTAATTGGTGCGAAATTCTTTAAATAACCGTTATTTAAAATATTTTTGAGAGGTTCCTAATTGGTGCGAAATACTTTAAATAACCGTTATTTATTATTACAGTTAACAATGCAATAGTTATTAGATACACATAACTGGCGCGAAACATTTTAAAAATCCGTTATCTATTGATATTTGTTAGTTATTTAAGACCGACAACTAATCAACCTCATATGTATAAAAATCTCACATTATTTAGCTAGTGTATGTAACTATTTTGTTTTAACTAAACAAAGGTTGTTTTCGTCAAAGATATACTAAACTAAAAGAAGTTTGTCTATATAAATGTGAGTTCCATTGTGGAGTTTCAGACAGTGTTCTTTTCTACTCTCAAAGAGTATATAACTTTTCTTTCTCTTTGTTTGGAGGGTTTTGAGATTTTGTTATGAGTGTTGTTGCTTAACATTTTGGGTTTCGGGATTTGGAATTCGTTTATACTATGGAAAATATGGGTGAAAGGACTAACGTTAACAACCTAGACCATGCTGATGATGAATGTAGGATTTGTCTCGAGTCACTGCAAGTTGATAATCGAACCCGAACCCCGGTTAAGCTTCGATGTGGTCACTTGTATCATCTAGGTAATCTTTTTGTTTCTGTGTTTGAAATAAAAGAATTCTTATGAGATTTTTGTTGTATGATTTGAGAAAACTATTGTTACGAGATTTTGTTCTATGATTTAATTTTCTTTTCCTTGATCTTTCTTCTCTCTCTCTCCACCAAAATTGTCCTAATAGATATGAGATAATTTAGTGGAGTAGCTTAGCTTGCTGAGATAATTAATTGTATTTTTTCTGATTTGTTTCTTAATCATAGATCCATGTACTCATGTGTGACGGTAACAAAAGCTAAATTAGTTTTGGTTTTTCTTATACACTATCTTGTGATGTCAAACACCTTTAATTTGTTGCCATTATACTATAGATTGTATCGGTTCTGCTTTCAATGAAAGGAATAAGATGTTATGTCCGACATGTAAGCGAGTGGAACAAGGTAATTGGAGGTTTGCACGCAGCTCTCCAAGTCAAGGTTTCAATGCACCATCGGTTCAGCCAGTTATGGGCGGTTTACCAGTACCGGTCTTGCGTGGTTTAATGTTTCCATCTGCTGGGAGACAACTTGGTAGTAGAGTACCAAATCAAGGTTTCAATGTACCGTTTGTTCAGCCACTCATGAACGGTCCAGCACCACCGGTCTGTCGTGGATCTTTCTTGTCATCTGCTGGGAGACAACATCGGAGAACACCAAGTCAAGATTTCGATATATCGGTTGTTCGGCCACTGGTGGAGGGTTTACCTGCAGCGGACCCGGGTGACCCTATGTTGACATCTGTTGAGAGAGAACTTGGTAGAGTATTACCGGATCCACATAGATCAACTTCATCTCCGTGGTCTAACCAATCGAGGCGTGGACCTATGACATCTGTTGAGAGACAACTTGGTAGAGTATTACCGACTCCACCTATGTCAACTTCATCTGCGCGGTCTAACGTATCGGTGAGTGAATCTTCCTTAGATTTGACGCGACAACAACAGATAGCAAGAAACATATCTCGTACTATTGCTGCTAAGGAACCTCGTAAACATCGCACGATGTATGGTTATGACATTAGAAGCAGCGGTGGAGAAGGTGGAAGTTACAGCAGTGGTAGCGGAAGTAGCAGTGGTGGAGAAAGCGGAAGATACAGCCGTGGTAGCAGTGGTGGAGAAAGCGGAAGATACAGCCGTGGTAGCGGAAGTAGCAGTGGTGGAGAAAGCGGAAGCTACAGCCGTGGTAGCGGAAGTAGCAGCAGTGGAGAAGGCGGAAGCTACAGCGCAGAGGAGGAGGAAATAGTTTGGAAGGGATTGCAACAGCTCAAAGGGCGGTAATGACGAAAACAATAGCAACGGGACGCGGTGGTGATCCACAAGCAGAACCGGTGGATACAAACAGTTCCTACCCGTAGCATAAGCAACATAAGCAGTGGATTTCATGAGTTTTCGAAACTTAGACCCATTTTTCTATTTTCATTTTGTTTTAGTTCTGAATTTTCTTAAAACCAAAAAAAAAACTGTTGTTCTTCTTGTTTGCTTTGCATAAGTTTAAAAAAAAAAAAAATTAAATGAAGTTAAAGTTTTTCACTCTATACAAATCACTATAGTAGTGTCGAACATGGCAAAGAGGCTCAAAGCAAATTCAGATTAAACACAATGGACCTACAAGTGCCAAACATGAAGAATATACATATGACCATTGGTAATGTGGGAGAGGAAAATCTAGATATGTCGCCGCCTGATTTCTCCCTTCCTTCGCCTACTTCCCTTTCCATCAAGCCGAATATATATGTTAAACGTCAAATGGTTTTTACTTTTATTGAATACATATATAGATCACTAAGGTATTATAGAGATATATTGAACTAGTACCTCGAAATTGCAGGGGGAGTGCAAACATTTGGTTGACGGACAATGTAGATTTGGTCTCCATAGCTGTAGTTTTTATAGACATCTTGATTCCTGTGCCATGTCCACAGGGCGTGCGTTAAATTCATGACCTGTATCAACACTTTCTAGTGGTCAGCTCTCGTCGCATAAAAGAGAATCACTCTTTCTTACAAGACCATCCATGTTTCCTAAGAGTAAATAGAATCGATGTTTCTTATAAAACATATGAAGATATACCTCGAGGATTCCATGGCCGAAGCTGCTCTCTCTGAAGGCACTCCAATCAGGTTGTCTGTCCCAGCAAAACTTGCCTTTTGCAGGGCCAGAAGTAAAATTTAAAGGGCATGATCCTCCTATCTCGGGGATGTTGTCTCCTGGAGAAGGACACTTCCCAGGATCATCCGCAAAGTCCACATCAACTTTCTCAATGTTTCCACCATCTCCTATTGTTATGTAAACAGGCCCACATGGGTCTAGTGTGTAGTTGTATATGCGGTTCATTCTCTCGTATGCATGTACCTTCAGTAACAATAAACGCCACTTTTAGTCATACAAACAAGGGAAAAAACAGTTCTAAATCGCTAGAGTTCAACATCACTACTGCAATATGGCTGAGTTTCAACTTTCAAACAAACATTGACAAGATATGAACCAAATTCGACAACAAGAGGAACAGATCAAGAGTATCAAAACTCTTTCACCAAGATAATTTGAGAACTTACATGTCCTGCAAACACGATGTCGACACGGTGTTGGTAAAGAAGCTCTTCCATTTC